TCCGAGGACTCCTGCATGAGTGGCCGGCGGTCGACCATGATGCCTGGCGGATAGCGCCCCTCTTGTTGTTGCCTGCGTTTCAGCCTTCTCTTCTTATAGTGTTCTTGCGGTCGGTATTGGCGGGAGGCTGCGCGAGGCCGCGTTTGTATGACCTGGGGCTGCAGGTGAGCGGCTCAGCTTGGATGCGACGGCAAGACTTCACGACAGGGGAGAGAGGAAATAGACTGTCGCAAAGAGAAGAGACGACATCGCAAGGTTAGTCGGCGAAAAGCCTGAGTAATAAGGCCTCAAGGGATGACCCGACTGTCCGCTGCGGTTGCACGCACGTTCAGCTGTCGCTGGGCGGCTGCACACTGTTCGCTTGTGGCGCTTGATTATGGCCCCCAAACTACATCCAGACCACTCTGCTGTGCCTCGCAGTGGTCCATAGTCTCCATAGTGCCTCTTCTAACCGGTAGCGAATGTGCAGCTGTCAATCACGGCTGCTTGCGCTTTGTGAGCATGTCTCGCCGTTCGGCAAGCTTGACGAAGCGTGTGTCTCCTTCTGCAGTTTGCGATATGCCCTGCGCAGCAATGCAAACAACCATTGCCAAGCTGTAATCAGACGATGTTAGGGTGTCTCAATGGGCCTGGTGATGCGTGACAACCCTTGGGGGGGATCAATCGGGTTTGGTGATGTGGTACACGGTGGAGTGTTGGGGTTCAGCCCCTCCCCACAAACTGAAGCTCCACGCGTCGCGTCGTGAGCTAAGGAAAGCGCCAACACGCGGGACGGGGTTCACGCCTGCATTCTACCCGATAGCCTTGACATGCTCATCAACTAAACACCTCCAGTCCGCACTCCCGTAATAAACCGTATGCCCATCATCATGCGTCAACTGCCCCGTACTCTGTACCGTATCCCCCAGCTGCCAAAACAGATCCGCCGCCATCCCACTATCTTTCAACGACAGGCTGGTCTTCTGCCAGCCCCCCTCCACAGGACAGTGGTCCTCCTTCTTGGGTACGCCATATTCCTCAAACAGACACGGTTTGTTGAGCTTTTCACAAATCTGAGCATGCGCTTCAATCCAGCCGTCGCCAAACGAGTTGCTTACGCCCCAGCTATCCGGGTACAGGTGGAAGGTGCCGAAGCTTATGTTGCCCAATCTTAAATTTGCTTCCCAGTCTATGCCTTCGGTGTACTGGTAGGGGTAAGAGCCGTCGCCTGAAAGACCGAAGCCCTCATCGCCCACGGTGATCATGTGGTCCGGGTCGAGAGAGCGGATGTAGTCACTCGTTTGGCGGATCCAGTTCGTAAGGACCGATGTCTGGCAGAGATTGCAGCGCGGTTCATTGGCCAGTTCCCACGCGAACACCGCGTTGGAGTTGCGATAACGCGAAATGACAGCTTTGATGTACGCCTGGTACATGGTCTGGCATTTGGTCGATGTATACCATTGCGCATTGCTGATGACGCCACACGCGGAGAAGTAGGCAGCCATGCCACCATAATCGGTCCAGTTGTTTACGAAGTTGATGATGAGCTTTATTCCATGTTTTTCTGCAGCATTGACTACGGCGTCGAGGCGCTGGAGACCATTTGTGCCTGTGTTGATCGTGGCGGTAGATCCAGAGAAGGACTGGAAGTATACTGTGCCGGACCCTGGAATGGTTTTGACGTCGTTAAAACCCCATATCCGGAGTATTTTTTGGTCTGAGGTGGCTAGGTGGCCCATGATTACGTCGACATCGTTATCGTTTGTCAAAAAAGGGATCCAGTAGGAGTTGGTTCCAGCGTAATCTAATGACAACATGAGTGGTGGAAAGATGACTAGGGGTCTATCGACTTACACTTAGTTACACCATCAATGTTGAACTTGAGACCATCGGCTTTTGAGATGGAGGCTCGCGGGGACAGATCGATTGCTGAGGGCAACGCTGTCGCAGCTGCGCCTAAGGCAAGTATCGGGAGCATCTTCATGATGCTGAAATGGGACTACGATTTCGGCGAGTGTGCAGCCATTACCATGTAGGGCTCGCTGCCACAGAACTTATAGGAATCCGTCTCGACTACGCTCAATACTTACTCGAAGCGGAGCGGCACAGGGCTCTCCGCTTTGAACTGGATCACACGGCAATCGTACCTTGAAGTGACTCTAGTTGTGGGGTAATATAGTAGCCAAGGTCGTAGCATGCTCGTGATTGGTGCACTAGAGACGAAGGGGCTTCCTTTCAATTACCATGTTTGGCAAGAATGCATCGGACCGCCAGCCCCCGCATTACATCGAGTAGATTTTTATACCTCTGGAAATATATGAGAGGAAGATAATCAGTAATCGCGATAGTCGCGTATAGCATATAGCAACTACGGAGGCAAAGTTGCAGAATTTCCCCGCGGCTAACAAACCATGCAATGTATTCGGCACAGACTTTCCGACAAACCAGCATCAACGAAACAAGGATTGTACCCGGCAGCGCGAGAGGCGATGAAACGAAACAACTGATAACGAACCAAGAAAGACTCGATAGTAGGAGAAGTTGTCATGACTTATTAGGCAATGGAGGAAACATTGGCGAGTCGCCCGGAGTAAATTGCAGCGTCGTTTTGCACCAAGCTCTTTCGCAGGCTCCGTAGTCGTCTTGATAGTGTTATCTTTCTTGACGTTCGTAACCGCACAGTCTTGGCTTTGAGTGGAGCTGTGGTGGAGATGCACAAACGTCCGTTGCGTGCTGAGGGGTGACAAGAACAAGCAATACGCCGAAATGCAAATCCAGGATGAACAAAGGTCTCTAGATGAGAAGGTGGCAGTATGACGAGGCGAATGCGAATGCGAAAGATGACTAGCAATAACAGAGCCGATCAAACGATAATGCTAACAAGGAGCACCAGGTCCAATGCGGTCTCCAGACGATAATGAACTTGATTAATCGGCAGTCGCCCGCTGATAAAAGCAAGCAACCCCAGCGTTCGGATAATATTAGGGAGAACGGGAGAAGTCGTTGAGAAGAAGAAAGCCTTTATCCCGACTTTGCCCTGCCGCTCGCTTTACCTGGGTCATGTCGAGCATAGGGCTGCAGCGACGCACGTGCGCGTACAAAGTCTGCCTGCATGTCCTAGAGCTGAGATGTGTCAGTGCTGGTCCTTCCATTTCATATCCCATGAAGTGATATGGGCCAAACCATGTCAATGTAATACCAATGATTGGCGCCGAACCCATGTACTACTTAACTACTACGGCACTTCGTGTCGAGGGACCAAGGCAAGGATAGCGATGGCGAAGTTTAGTCCTTCTATCTCCACGCTAACGGTCGCGAGAACGGTGCTCGGATCAGATCCACCCTGTTATTTCATCCTTTTTCTTGCTTTCTGAAAACCAACATGCATGGCGTAACCTGAGGAGATTTGCTGACGGCGTGTCGTTCGTAAAGAAGGCGCCCAACTCTGCACCAAGTGGTCTGGATTGCAGGCCTTAGTCGAGCAGTTTAATCCGGGCGGTGATGGCATGGCAGACGCAACCGTGTGGTACGGACGCCTAGTGTGGGGGTAGTTGGAGCTATACAACATGGTGGACGTCAACGACGCCGCCAACTGTCAGCAAGTCAGATCGCGATAGTGAGCAACCACCGGTGAGTAACCTGACGTGGGCGGTGAAAGATGGCGAGTCATCCAATAGTGGGACAACCATTCGGAGTCGGGGTTCTTTTCGGTAGGCGCCTTTCCAACTCGGAATATGCATACAGACAGTCGCATGCTCGATGATGCAGTCAACCTTGATCTGGCAGCGGTCGCGCATTGTTTCCCATGCCGTGCAACCCGCATCTTGCTTATGGGCTGCAGAGCTGACCTTGTGTAGCGGTACACAGAACTAAGATCTGAGCTAGTGCCGTCGCGTGGCGTAACCGAAGTACAGGCAGCGTTGGGAACGATGACCACGAGTCTGGTGTTGCATGTCTCAGTCCCACGCGAGGCGCGTAAGACGTGGGAACTCGAAGTCGAAAGCGCACGGCGTAACTTGCCGTTCCAGTTAGTGCCCCGCAGTGTCGCCGTTGGAACCAGAAGAGGATATGAGCAGGGACGTCGTACTAGATGAAGCAAGGAGAGGTCTGCCCTGGGGTACGTTTCAGGCCCAAATTTGAGGATCTGGCTTTTGAAAAATGAGACAAGAGGGCAAAGCAAAGCGTTGTGGTATAGCATCCCACACATCAGCTCTCTAGGATAGCCCTGGAACGTGCTGCACATTGAGGCTCGGGCCGGTTAGGGCCGGAAATGTGACCTGGACTATCGAGTCTGACCCCGGGTCCGCGTACACGGTTGATCGACCATAGCGGCCGAACGCGTACAGTATCGAATTTTCCGCGCTCGGCTGCGGCAGAGGCCTCTTAATTGCAAGGATCCCGCACCTCCTGAATAATCTTCGTGTTGGTCAGGCGAAACCATGCGTGACCGGTCGCCTGGTGCTGAATTACTGAATGACCTATATTGTATTTGTACGACACATATTCGTTAAGAACGGCTGCGATTGGAAAAGCAATCGCATCGTTCCTAGAATTACTGAACGTGGTGTTGCCGAAGACTACCGAATGTCCGTGCTGGAACGTTCAAATGGGCGTACGGCATGAAATTTGACAGCAAGAGCTGATCGTCCTTCGTCGGTGGCCCACCACCAGGGCGATATGACACGAGAACCAACGTCTGCCAGGAGGTTCGTGGAAAAACAATAGACATGAGAAATTGCCGTTCTTACTCGAGGTGCTTTCTGCCAATGACATCCTTTGGAGAATGACGCACAAGCATTTCAGCCACCGCCGATTCCGACTTTCTAAGGCCCGAGCCCTGCGAGCACCGTCACAGTTCCTCACCTCAGCCTCCCTCAAAACAAAATCCTGCCAAGACTAGGCGGAAGCGGGGGGTAGACCGCGGTGCCCTAAAATCTCCCGCTCCTCTTGCTTCCTGTGATTCCAGAAACTAGCAGGCTTTCTTTGAGCGTCGTTCGTTGTCCCCAGGTCGTCCAGTCGCCATGAGTATTCGGATAAATGCGACGGTCCAAGAGGCCCGAACAGCTGCAAACCACAGCCAGGAACAATGGGACCGATTCTACGTAGGTATACTCTTGTCGCAAGGGTATGCTTGGCTAACGGGACTAGTTCATAACCAAAGACGAGGCCAGGCAGCTTGCAGAGGCGCACCCTGACTGGAAAAGATGGATCCTCATCCCCGCGAACGAGAAAGAACAAATGCTGGAGAGGATCAACGCCCGCCTGAGTGCTGAAGGTATCCCACCTGTCGAGATGATCATCCTGAAGTGGCGAGTGTCGCAGTTACTCCGAGACATCCAGCGGAAATATGGTATGTGCATTTGTGCCCAACTCTGGTGACTCGAGGTAGCGGTCGGCTACGGTGACGCCCTATACAAGTACATTAGCTGATTCAAATGACTTTGCAGAAGCCGGCAGCATGCTACAAGGGATGCCAGGCACGAGCTCAGGGTCAGGATCGGGGTCACCAATACAAGTCCAGACAGCCCAATCGCCTCCAGACAGCAGCGTTCAGTCATCGAGCCCACAACGAACGGAGTATTCACCAAGCGAAACTCGCCCATACGATCCAATACGGGATGTGTAAATCCCAAGCCCCCGGGAGGAGATTTGTCTTTCACAGCGCGCGTTCAAAGTCGAGAACAGGAACACCCGACGAATATTTGGTATTCGAGCCTGATACCCCAGACCACAAAGCGCGGCGTGCATAGCGAGGAAAGAGCAAACTAGCGAAACCACCTCACGAGGAGACGGAGCGCCATAGGATCCAGCAAGCTATCGTTGTGCGATCGTTGTGGAGGCTTCGAGGAGACGCATCGGCAAGAGATATCGCGTCGAGCGAAGCGGACTATACAACCGCAGCGTTCCATGCGGCTACACCGAGCGGGCTCGACTCGGGGTTGTGTATAGTGCTCTGGTACGTAGCCTGGGCAGTGCCGAGGGTGTTGTGCGCTGCCCAATCCGGTATTTGCCTACTTCCAATGTCTCTTGCTTGCTTTTCCATGTACCTGCAGCTTTCCACACGTCTCAATTCCCCGACGCTGGCTACTCATTGTTGATTGGCACGCAGCGTGCATCTGGCCTTGGCGTCGTGGCTTTTCCGTCCCCGTGCATTGTGCATACAGCCCAATCTCGAAAGAGTCGGAAACAACGACGGTTCTAGACCGCGCATGGCATTTTCTCCGGTTTCTTTTGGCGTTTCCTTCTCGACGCTGCCCTTTCGCATGTCTCAATCTAGGAACAATGCATTCTAGTATTGGACGCTATCAAATTTTGTCTCCTGTTGTTCCAACGAGATATACTCATTCGCTGCTAACAATGGAAGAAAGAAACTCTTGTGTATGTCGTGTGGGCCAGCGTCGCAGGGTAAGGGTCGCTAAGCGTCGAGTCGTGGAGCGAGTGGGCGAAGCGGTCTTGTATGACGCAGCTGAGGGCAGCTCATCGGTGTGTCCTTCCGAGGTCGGCTAGGCTGATCGATCTTTAGATGCTCCTACTGTCTCATGAGCTGCTCACCCCGCTCGTCAGAGGGATGTGGTTCATCTGCGTAACAACTCTGGTCATCGCTGGAAGCGTAAGTAATGGATAATCGTGGCCTGCAGAGTCGGTCGGGCATCTCTGGACCTCCGGGCTTGTAAGCCCGAGGAGGCTGCCGGCGTGAAGGTTCAATGCTTGCTTGCTGGCCGAGGAGCGTATGCGGGAGCGTTGTGACATCAGAGGGGAGTCGCACGTCTGTGTGACAACCACACCATCGTGTTGGAGGTTCCTAAAGGATGTGGCATCGTAGACGATGATACCGAGCCGGATGACAGCTTGATGAAGAGGGTGAAAGGTCGTGAGGACTGGAGACAGAACACGTCCGACGTGACTGCCTCCAAAGTATGGTACCCTAGCAACTAGTACTTGCCTCATCCATGTCAAAGGGCAGCCACACCCACTTCTCATCTTCAAACTCTTGTACACAACGGCCTCCTGTACTCTCTACATCTCCCCGTGCCCGAGATTCGACTGCGACACGCGGAATGCATCCCACTATCACGCGTCTCACACGGAGTGAACTAGGGGCACAGTCGCCACTACCCGCATCGCTCTACCGCGTCTCTCAGCCTCCTGCATCTCAACACCGGTAATGAGAGCTGCAGCGCCTCACAGATCTGTCGGGAACTGGGTTCAACAAAGTCAAGAGGCTTTCCCAGGTCTTTCTCAACCGAGCCGAGCCTTCTGCGGACGACGCTATACGTCGCGCACCCAAGACACTACTAACGGCGGATAAAGGCTTCACTGCAGCTTTAGTACGTAATATCCATTGTACTAATTAGTTTTGTTCTTGTGCAGGAAGCTCCTTTGTTTGCCCAAGAGTCGTTCACTCTGGTGAGCAGCCAAGACCCACAATGGAAGGAGCACTAGCCGCCGTTTGACAGCTGTTTCTTCCCGTAGCCTGGTTCAACACCGGCCCTACTCTCCCGTCAGAGTTCAAGCTGCATCGTGCAGGCTGATGGGCCTGTCGCGAGCTGCCTGCTGGGACCTTCCATGGAAATCTCGTCAGTGCACCGTGGTCGTCGAGACGAGATTGCTGGGTACCGGTGACTATGTGCCTCCCGCCTGAGCATCTCTCCAGCATCAGCGGTAAGTGGAACTCACAAACGCATCGTATGTTGACTCCAGTGTCCATGTTGGGACACAACAGTAGTGCAGCGGAGTGACACGAGAAATCCTGTCCCCCCGACCTGCTCCTTCGTCGTAGCAACGATGCGGACAGCTCGGTGACCCCTCAACGCAGCGGACCAACGTCCGTCACCGAATGCAGCTCACTGCATACATGTACCCACCATACCCACCTCGAACGCGCCGTGCCCATATTGACGGCTCCACCCGTACCTCATTACGATCACGCGAATACGTTCGGTAGCGCGGCCTCGACGGCCATATACACTCTCGGTTGGAATGAGGCAGTGCTGTCGAGCCGCCTGGGCTTAGCATATACCGTTAGGCTGGACTGGACAGCTGCCAGGCGCAGCTTGATGTACCACAGTGGAGCCTCATGCATGCTGTATGCTGTGTCTTGCAGGACATGTATTGCTACAGCCACGTCGTAGTACAAGGGGCAGGGCCTTTCCGAGGATAGATGTCTTGAGTTGTCTGCTGTCATCATAGCGATACATGAATCGCCATGGCAGTCCTTCTCAGTCCTCATTCAGACGATCGGCGCCGTTAGATCGGGCTATCGCTTGAACTCCTCCGCTTTGCCTTGTCCAAATGAAGCTATGGAGCGGCAAGAATGCATCACGCCAAACATCCGGTACTAAGAGCCCTGGCTACCAGCTGCGCTAGGGATTGCTATCATTGCTGCATACATCGAAGACACGCATCGTACTGAAGGCACTGAGGGTATCATGGCTTAAATGCGTGTTGATATTGAAGTGACGCACAACAAGACTCCCAGGTACCCATGACAAGGGGGTCGCGACTGGAACGTGATTCCTAGGCACCATGGCGCCAGACAATGCAGTCGCAAAGATACTGTAGTGATCATGGGCTCAACTGGGCGGGGTATGTATGGTGTTTCTCATAACACAATCTCGTACTAGATAGTATTTGACAGAAGAATGTCTCTGACTCCTGGAACACTCTACTCCCTGAACGTGTACTGGCCACCACATTGTCGCTTACATTAATGAACGTAATCGTGTCACACAGCAACATCACGTTATTTGAGGTCAAGTCATGAAGTCCGAGAAGAGTTTAGACAATCCCTCTTTGTTCGATTTTCGGACTCCAGTCGGCCTATATCGTTTCAGACGTAGCAAGACATCACTCTAGCCACATCAGTCGACGCTCCAAAACCCCCAAATCGAGACGTTGCCCAATCGCAGGTGGACATAGTGTCCTGGTATCATTGATATCATAACCACGGCCAAGCGTAGCTAGCCAGAGACTATAACGAGTCTCTTTCCGATGCCACCAAAGCTTCCATGTCATAATTCATATTCCCTATTCCCCGTGTTTTAGCCCTTTTGTATTCGTGGTAGACCTAATCTGACCAACTACCCTTGCATACCGAAGCCAGGCTCAATACCAGCCTGCTTCAACGCCTTTGCTTTCCGCGAATCCGCCTCTTTCTTCTCTGCTTTTTGGGACGCCGCCAACGCGCGGACTTGGTCTTCTTCGGCGAACATTGCGCCTTTGGGGTGTTCTTCTCGGTCGAGGTCGACGGTCGCGCATATGGTGACGTTCTCGCCTCGTACGGTCATGACACCGGGGAGCTTGACGTCGTGTATTAGCCAGCGGGGCACGGAGAGGTCGGAGGAGGGCGATGCGTCGGGATTGCGGGCTGCTATTCGCTCGTAGCATTCTGTGAGGACGAGGTTGGCTGGAGAGTGTTAGCTGGGGTATCGATGACGCGGGGAGGGTTGGTGGTGGACGCACCGAATTGGTCGTAGGAGCGTAATATGCCAATGTACTCTTTCTCGTCACGTAATAGCACGTCGACCTTTTCTGAATTGTGTCAACGTCATGTCCTCTCAGACTCCTGGCTAGGTGTGTCCATACTGTCCACCATGTCTAATAGCATTGCCGATGTCAGGAAGGCCTGCGGTGGGAGGTCGACGGGGAGTACAGGGGGCGGCGCCTGCCCTCGTGCACCACCGAGCATGTTTGCATGTTGTGGTGGTGGAGTGGCACTGTATACGCCTTCGTAACCTGGGGCGGTATTAGCACTGCGCCATTGTGCGTGTCGGCGGGGGTCGTGGCTCACCAGAAGACGGCGAGGGCCCGCGTGGAATCTCGGAGCCCGGGGGTTGCAGCTGTCCAGGTGCCTGCATGGAGCGCTGGAGCATGGCGTTGAAGTCCGGGCCCATGTTTGGGGCACCTCCAGCGGCCGCGGGGCCTCGTGGTGGGCGTTGGTTGTAGGCCATTGTGGGAGGTTGCGCAGTGAGTCGGGCGAGAGTAGTGGTGTTGGTTTAGCGGTTGCGAGGGGGCGATGGGTACGGAGCTATCATGGCGAGGCGGCGCATACAATTCTACCTTCACTCGCGTGTTTACGTCGTTGACGCTGCCCGAAATCGCCAACCACTCACGTATGCCAAGCCCCGCTAGTCATGAACTCTGGATGGGAAAGACGTCTTGCATCATCCTAACTTCTATCCATTTGTCGCTACGTCTCATTGCCTAGCTATACTCGCTCATAATACGACCTCGGGAAGCTCCTCTGTTTAAGTTCGGGGTTGTTGGGAAAGAATTCTCGTGCAAAGATACCCATTTGTTCACTGAAGTAGAGGAGCTCTTCTGCGCAGCCCTCAGCATCCAGATCAACGCCGTCTTGAGGAAACATCGATATCGTGTAAATCCCAGTGGACATTCGAGTTCTTCATATTAGACTGTACACAATTCCCGACTTGTTACCCAGTACGTGTCGTGCAGTCTGCGAGACTGGACAACACTGGTGGACGAATCGGAGCTGAGCTACGCCGCAAGAGAGCCATATTTAGGGCGAGCCTTCGTCCTGCATTCGCGCTCTGTTTCCCGTCATATCATAATTTTTTTTCAATCGCATTCGGGTCTCATAATCTTCTCTGCCACAGTACCTACATT